TGACTGTCGTGGCGCAATGCTGCATTGAAAGGACAGTCATTCATAAGCCTTTACGCCATTCCAATAGGATTTGCATAATCTCTCACCCTCTGACTCAGCATTGATCTGATTTTCAATCATGTCTGCTGCAGTTGTCTGCTTGAACTCTGTAACCTCCCTTCCACTTAAAAGGTTTTACTGCCTTCCTGTTTTTATTTGCGTTTATGTTTACCGCCGAAATTTAGGAAAACAGATCCAGGGAACATAAATCCGCTTTCAAATAGAAGAATAGTGATCGCTCCTAGATGCCACCCAAGAGATGCATCTCGAAAGTACCATCTACTTCTACCTCGTTATTAGAGTGCTATGTGTGGTGAGTCTTCAAAATTATTGAAATGAACTTTAATGGAAGTCAAGAACTTTTCCACAAAACTTTCAAGCAGAGCCTTTATAGCTTTCTGTATTGAAGTTTGAAATATCCTTACAGATGCTTATACCCATTCATAAAACTGAAAATCTCAATTTTTATCCCCCTCTCAAAGACTCAAGTTTTGTCATAGGAGCAATTCTTATGAAGCTTCGTTTGAAATAAGCTTCATTCACATTACTCATCCCTCACAAATCTAAGAGTTGTAACTGCTTATTTCATTCCCGTTAGCTTCGAAGCCTTTGAAGGTACTCCACAAAAAAGTTCCGGTTTGAGCCGTACAATCCGGAAATTACGATAACGCCTTTTTCCTTAATTGATAAACAAAGATTGCCACACAGCTTCTCGACCCCATTAACCTTGTAAAAATTTGTTAATTTTTCTTTTTCTTCTTCCTAAATATTTGATGTAACTGGAAGCTATGGCGACAGAAAAGCAGCATAGAAGACAGCTCTTCGTGAATAAAAGCTGGAAATCTGCCAAAAATGATCCGGAAAAACGATGGATTCACTTGTGGCATATAACTCAAAAAGTACATTCACATGCTTGAACGAATGAGAATTTTTTGGAGCAAATCGTGGAGGGTTTTCTACTAGCTAAATGACAGGTTTCATTAACATATGATAATCGCTCGATTCATTTACTGAGGCTACTTAATTTAACATATTAACGAGATTTATCATAATTGGGACCACTACTTTCTAGCGAACTAAGGTAAAATTGACTGCGAACACGTTTTTGTTTTGCGGGGGGGATTTAATATTTTTTTCTTCAAATAAGAGATTTGTTGTCAGCTAACAATTAGATCACACCAAAGTATGTATGTAGAATACATATGTTCACTTAAAAATGTTTAGTTTTAATTTTTTCAAATCTCAATTTTCAGATTAACTGCTTAGTGATGTTATTTTGTGTTGCATTGTCTTCCGGTTGGACCAGTCGCATAGCAGCCATTATTGGTCTCATTTTCGATTTGATCTCCATAATTTTTGTTGGTGGCTCTATTGGTACACTGTTTGTATGGGACTTAGCAAACATGTCGTTGCCGAAGGTAGGTTATACTGAAGCTTATATATCCTAACAACAAAGTGGGTAAAGTTTTTGTGTTTTCAGCGCTCTCTATTCATGTTGGTATTCATGCTGACGTCCATCATCACGGGCGTGATGTTTTTCATTGCACCTGGAACTTGTGATTCATTCAATCAGTATGGATGCTTTCAAACGTATTACTCCGGTGCCTATAAAATTGCTGGGGTGAGTATGCAAAAGTTTGGGAAAGTGAAAGTGCCAATGCTGCTTGCCAATACCGTAGTCACAAGAACACATGTCGCCCGTACACACTGCGGTAGTTCTTGCATACTCACAAAAGCTTGTCACATTCATAGGCTGAGACCCCACACATTATCTACTACGTTGGTACCTTCAAGAAAATTTCTAGGTTTTTTCTCCATTTAGGCGGACAGTGGTTTATGCTAGAAACAGAAATTTTATAAGGCCAAAGTACCGTTGGAGATTGTGATTGGTTTGAAAGTTTTGAGGGATATTCGACCAAAGTATTACGTCAAACCTAAAGTACTAATGTCGCATCAATTTGAAAAAATTCGCAAATCCCTACGTGAACGCATCTGCTCATGAAAAATCTCATGTAGAAAAATTTATCTTTCCAATAGTATTCACGCTGCTCTTTGAGCAAGAGGCCCTAAAGTTAATAATCCGACTAGGAGAACCACTCCAGCTCGTGATTTTCGGAAATAAATAGTCAAAATCTGAAACGCTGCAGAAAAATCTGAGATCATGCTCCTTAGAGTTTTTGTGAGCTGCTCTTCCTAACAGTGCTAAATTTGTATCAATAGAGCCTTTCTATAAAAAGTTTTGACCGTGAAAAATGCAAAAACTTCTGCATCTACACTTTTCACGAAAATCATATCTGTTCATAGAAAAGCTCGATTAACATAATCTTGGTACCATGAAAAAGAGCAACAATATCTTAGGTGCTCCCGGATTTTTCTGCGGTCAGATTCCTTTTATTTTCGAAAACAGGAACTTGAGTCGTCCTCCTCTTCTGATTTTTATTCTGGAGTCAACTGTTGTTAAACGTCAGCAAAGGTATTGTTAGAAACTATTTAGATGACTTTATGCATCTGAAGGAATTTTTTGTAAGTCAGTACGTTCACATAAG